CCCAATTAATATTCAAAATATTCAAACATCAGAATAAAGTTTTTCGCCACGTTTGTGAGATTACGAAGGCTTCTTCTCATAGCTATGAGATCAAACCATTTTTTTTATGCCAGAATTCACCTTCTAGAGATAATTTTACTTTCACGAGAAATAAGAATTCAGAATTCGGAGCACTGCTTCCCAGTACCACTCGGTTCTGCTATAATATACCTTCAGAACAGGTGGAGGGGGATAAATTGGCACAGCCTAGACAACCATCAACTGTAGCCTCTTCCTTACCCAGCTTAAAATCCTTCACTGGCATGGGGCCCTCAGTTAAGGAGGTTCGGCATTACAACATTGAAAACAAATCGTGAAAAGTTCATTTAACACTTTGTAAGCAAATGAAATTGTTGCCACTTCTGTGGAATCTTCTGCCTGCATTCCTAGAACTTGAGACTTCACAACCTGTACATGAGTGTTTTTGAGTTCCTGTGAATTCAGTTCAACGTTGCTTCTTATTATAAACAAATTTTTATTTCATATATTTCGTCTGTACAATTTTATTTTACATTTTATAGTACTCGCATAGCTAAAAGGGAAAGTCCGATGATACCGATTGTAAGGCCTCCGGCTGAGTTGCACAGGTCTCCGACGCAGCAACAGTTTCGCTCATCGCTTGGGCCATCACAGCCAGTTTCCTGAATATTAGAGTATAGGAGAAAAAATGATTGACTCGACTCCTGTTAAACTCTCGCAATTATTCAGGACAGTAATATTTGGGACAGTTATGTTTGGGGCAATGTTTCACCCCTAGAAAAGCCTGACAAAAGTTTGGAGTTAGCTTGGGAAATTTTGCAGCCATTACAGCCATGTACCTTTTATGAAATACCCTCAGTCGGGCCCCACTCGTGAAGTCGGGCTCTGGTAGAAAGGGAGATGCAAACCGGTGTAAGTCGATCATCGTGCTCAATAACAATGACGAACTACAACGCAAATATTATGCGTGATTTACGCGGACTATGATGAACTCTGACGCCTTTCTCCCCCATCAAAGATCAGTATGATTTTTTCGAGAACCAGGTATCTCACTGACCCCTTAGGTCACTGGGAGAACTCAAGCCTGACCAAAAAATGTAAAAATGTAGAACAGTTTTCGAGAGTAATTTCGGGGAATTCAGATCAAAATTTACTACACTGCCCATTCAAAAGAAAAAATAATGTCTGATGATAACATACGGTTTTTAACAATTTAAACACCTTCATTTGGGGCCATAAAAAGGTGGAGGTGGTGCACGATGGTGCACAGGCAAATGACGTACACTATCGGACGCATGGCCCGATGAATGGCTCCTAGACCGATTCCCGCCTTAGTCTACCGAGCCATCCATCTTTCCGTAGTCGTTTGGTTAGCATCAGACTCGTCTGGGAGGATAAAAGCACTGATATGGACATCGGCTGGCCACCATAAGTCGTTGTACAAGCCATATACGCATTGTGTACGCCACTAGATTCTAAATGGAAGTCGAATGCGTGGGCGCATCCAAAGAACGGAATCGTCGAACGCCGAGAGGCCCTATTCTTTTGTCTTTCACGCCTCTAGGCCCGTTTTGAAAGTGTAGCCATGGGCAAAATGGCGAAAAAGCTTGATTATGAGTCATGAATCATACAGGCCCATTTCTTATGGTTTGTCCTTGCAAAAATCAGAACTTAGTTCCCATGATTGAAGAAAGCAATTGAAGCAACACCAAATACAACTCGAAAATTTTTTTTCAATTAAAAAGTATCAGAATCCAAAGTGAAATGAAGTTGGAACAAATTCCAGCGCTCTCCCAGTCGCCAAAGTGAGATTTATCTTCTCGTTTCCTCCCGCAGCCTGATGGTAAGAGTAAAGCGCGCGCGAGCTCGTGGAAGAGGTTCTCTCTACTGTGGCTGATATTTCTGGCGAGAACCTCTCTAGTTGTGCGAGATGGCAACACGACAAAAAAGTCAGCCATTTTTATCTGAGTAAAGACTTTTTATGAGATGGTTTTGCAAGGTTTGAGTAGAAGGTCGACTTTTTTCATCAACGGCGAACTCACAGAATGCCACTCCCGATTTCTACTCAGAGACGTCTGTTGCTCATTTTTTTCCCTATTGAAGTACGGCTAGGTTTACAAAAGCAACAAAGGATAATCAAACACTCCAAGGACTTTTTCCTTCAGAATTCTTTTTTTGCTGAATAAAAAAAAACATTACGGTACTTACAAAACACTTTCCAACTTCTCCACAGCTCTTTGTAATCGTATAACTGTCATCTCCGTTGTGATGACGTTTCACATAACTATTGAAGCAGAAATCAGCTGTTGGACAATTTACTGCAAAATGGTCCAATACATAAACATTTTGTAAACTAGTGAGGTCTGAGAGACACCTACCAGGCTGGTATGGGATTACTTGTCCGGGAATCGTTTCTTGTCCTTGGTAACATCGAATTGCAGCAAGCGAACCGGTCATTGGCAAAAGTAATGCAATCAAANACTCCAAGGACTTTATCCTTCAGTAAGTGTTTTTTCACGGAACAAAAAAGTAGTACGGTACTTACAAAACATTTTCCAACTTCTCCACAGCTCTTTGTAATTGTATAGCTATCATCTCCATTGTGATGACGTTTCACATAACTATTGAAGCAGAAATCGGCTGTTGGACAATTTACTGCAAGATGGATAATTTTGTAAACAATTAGTAAGTCAGTAAGTTCTTGGAGGCGCCTACCAGGTTGGTATGGGATCACTTGTCCGGGAATCGTTTCTTGTCCTTGGTAACATCGAATTGCAGCAAGCGAACCGGTAATTGGCAAAAGTAATGCAATCAAGCAGTGCATTGCGAATCTGGAACAACGACCCCAATCAACGATATTGAATCGGCTTCTCGAGCATGAAACTCGAGGGATCCCGAAACATTGAAGTCGATTTGAGAGTAAAGTGATGAGAAGCTAAGCTTCTTTTGGTAGTTTCCATAATTCTACATTTCGACAAATTAAAGGTCCCAGGTTTTTATATACCTACAAAAATGTATTGGAGTATTACNTGGTAGGACTTTCGAGCATGCGAAACTATGGAACAACAGGCTGAAAGCCGAGCGTTGATCCGTTAGGCTAACCATGCTAATCATCCGAACCATGTTTGAGATAACTCATCCGTTTAGCCTCAATAAGCTTGTCCGTTGGCCGACAACAGGTTCGGCCCTTTCGATACGTGAAATTAAATCAGGATATCTGACGATTGCAATCAGTGACTAGCAGATCAGTCGATGAGGAGTCCGACTTTCTTCAAAATGACTGCATCCAGAGGAATCAATCCTGCTTTCACTTCACAGGTACAGTCTGATACTAGTGAGAGTACCAGTAAAGAATGAATTGAGCGTAGGAGTGGATATGTAGGTCCAATTTCGAGCTGCGACGGTCCTATCCAATAAGCCGGGGGTGGGGAACGTGCTGATTGGAAGGAATCCAAAGTTTTCAGGAAGTTTCAACACTTTCCACGTGATTCCAAAAGGGATTCTTCTCAGTATAGATTTACTAGCGGTACTGACCTAGATGGAATCAGTTAGCAAAGTGATTGTACAGAACACTATTTGCATCTGAATTGAGCTAAGGAACGCACATGGATTAAGGGTTAAGTCAACAAGGTAAGGCAATCTTGGAATCCTTGTCGTTCCAGAAGCTGCTCTATCATGACATCAGTTCATATTTGTTTCCATTAAAGCCGTTTTCGTCCCAAAAACGACAGCTGAAGCTACCTTAGCTTACACATTCCACCTTCAGTAAATCAATATATTTTTTGGGAGTGAATTCAGTGGGTGGTTTTACAGCACGATTTGGCAAACCAAGTTCTACTCCTTTTTTACTGGACCTTATGTTTTCCCACATGCTTTCTTTGGATGACCAGATAAGGTGGACAAATACATTTTTTCCTTCCAGCACGTTAAGCAACCAATTTTCAATCTGATTTCTGGGTGGATGGATTCACCTTTGACCTATAGGCCGATGGCATCCTAACGGTAGACTGTGTGCATTGTTTTTATTCTCACAGCTGATTCCACCACCAATTGATTGTTCTAAAAATAGGAGCAGCCGGGTGATGCGGCTCTCCTTCAGTCGAGGTTCTCCGCCGCCGAGAGGAATCGTTTAGAAAAGCACCGCGGGATATGATTATAGGCAATGGCTGCCTTCTGACGAAACGAAATAGGTTATTTGAACGGTTGGTTACCTATCTTCAATGTTTATAAAGAGATTCAGAGGGCGTTCAAAGGCTAACTTCAAATGCACTCCGCATGCATGGCGCCTCCTGAGCAAGATCTATCACACATGCAATTTTTTCTTGATCGCTACCTCGACTACCTATGGTTATAACCTTATTCCGCCTTTTTCGTTAATGGTAACTTCCCAAGCATTGAAACCTTCTGTTAGAATTATTTTCCGTTTCAATGACCATAGAATAGATACCCTATTTGGAAGTAGGAGATGGTACAAGGATCAGATGACTAGTATTGTTATGAGGAGTGTGACTTCCTCAGGAGAGGATCAGTTGGTTCCTACTTCGTGTTGGGCGTCTTCCCTGTGCGTCAGCTTCTTTTGTATGCTAAATAGCATTAGATTCGAAGAGGAAGAGCTGCAAATAAGACAACTAGCCAAGAAACGCCGTCCACTGAGTGTAATGTCACTCATCCTCACCTTGCAAGTGTCCTTACCCTTAAGCGACTTTTTTGACTGGCCTTTGCCCCCAAACTTCTATCCTCATTTATAATTGAAACGATGGGATGGGGAATCCCACGTCCCGCTACGATAGGTGTTTCCGCAACGAAGCAGATCCGAGCTAAGTACATGGAACGGTCTCACCAATGAGTTCCCAGACATATGGTTATCCTGGTCGGACCGTTTTGGATATTCTGCGTCAGTCAGGATCTTCCAAAGTACTCTATGGAATCCCTCAATGCGATGCCAACTGATAGCATAGGGTGTGCCCCAGAATCTCCTTAAGCTGACCCTATTGATCAAACGTATGAATGATGTATTTAAATTTTGTTTTTTTTAAATAGTTACAGCAATTAATACACAAATATTCGGCCGATGTATGGATTACTGTAATGGATGAGACTCTTATGAGTAATCATGCACTGTTATGAGGTACCCGTGAGTCACCGGAAGGCTTCGTACACATTGAAATGCCTCTGACTTTTCTGACCTTGGTGATGATTAAGCTCAAAGAAGATGGGTAAACACAAAAATTTGTCAACAACTTGGAGGCCGCTTCTCCTTCACCGTGACGCTGAACACAAGGGAGCTCCTATGTATCATCACCCCTTGCCTGCTAAGACGCAATTGGAGAAGGGAATCCTCATTTGTTAGATCTAATGTGAGGCAAAGGTATTACGGATTTGTCGGGTATTTGGTTTGAGAACACTTTTTCTGGAGGAGCCGAAGCATAGTTCTTCCAACTTGTGGGGTATGGAAAATGAAAAGTTATGCACACTATCCAAGTTCCAAAGAAAAAAGACATCATGGGAACCGAGCCTCAGTAAAGGGTAAAAGAGAGGAACTTCAAGTTACTGTCGTTTTGTGGGATGCTCGCAATGTTCAAATGAATACTAATAGTCCTATGATGAAGAGAGTGCAGGCTTAAAATTTTCGGAAAACCAAAATGGTAGGAAGCGACCTCGAATAATGTCCCATAATTTGGAGACTTCAGAAAAACCAATTCAAATATAAGTGTGAACGGCTCATTCGACAAGCAATTCAAATATAAGTGTGAACGGCTCATTCGACAAGGTGAAAACTGAAAATAGTACAGAGCGATAGGTCGAAGGCGGTGTATCGAGTTGAATGGTTGATCGACGAGTTCAGCCAACGGAGCGGCGGTAGTTTACTCAAAGCGCTAGTCAAACTTTAGCTGAACGTTCAACAAATAACTCTTGCGCACCGACCTACCCCACCCTTGTCTATGCGTGATGATAAAATCATCTGTAAAAATGCCCATGCTTTCCCAGAAAACCTTCCTACGATGAAGCGAACAGGATTCAAGCAGTAGGACTTCCATAGTGTCGCCGCTGAAGACGATATTTGGCACCGCTCGATTCGACCTATTCAAAACCCTACTATGTGTGAACAACTCATATGCTTGATCAGGGTTTAAATCGAAACGAAAAAAAGAGCTGAATGTGAACGTAGTCCCAGCTACCCTCCGAGACCAGCACTCTAGGTTGGAATCCATCGTAAGACGCCTAACTCGGATTGTTGGACACCGATTCTTCTTTTATCGCACTCGGACAAGTAGGACGTTCTAGAAGAAAGTTTTCTCACCCCTTTTTGCAGGGAGTGTTGTGAGCCCCCTGAGCCCCTCTCAGGCACAGCAAAGATTTCCAGATCGCGCTCGCGAAACAGGGCCTTCCTCGAAACAGAGCACAAAAAAGCAAATATAAGTAAAAATAGTAAAGGGCGAGAGTGATCGTTGGGTCGCCATGTTCATTGAAACCCTGTGATGTTTGGGCTTTTTTAGAAAACAGGTAAGTGTTTGCTTGAGATCTTAGGAAGTTCTCGACACCATGGAGGAGGTGACATCATCGATGTTTGGTTGACGTTTGTGCACCACTTGATCGAAGCATAACCACTCATGCCTTCGGTGCTTTCTTGGATTCCGAGAAAAAACTAGTACAAAACCTTTATAGAAAATTAGCAAAATAAAAGGGTAGCTGCAAGAGTAAATATGGATTTTTGTGATCAAAAAAAGTCTGTGCTCTCTTGAGATGATTCACTGTTTTTTCAAATTTTGGGTAGATTTTTATTTTTTTCTGATTTTCTCTTTCGGTGATATCTGTGAAGATCGCGTCCGTAGCTTTTGCAAAGAGTCTTGAAGGCACCGTTTACGATAAAT